GCCAGGAGCCCCTAGTAGCGTCCTTGCTCCTAGTAGCGATGCCCTTTACTCCTAGTAGCGTCTTTTTCCTAATTTTCCAGGGAACCACTGGAATCCCTAGAAACGATGATGGAGTGGAGCATCCACGAATCTAGACCTCGAAGGAAGGTCGATTCGTACCAGGTGGGTCGCACCAAGGAAGGGTTTCGCGGTGTCCCTCCTCGCAGCGCTCCTGCTGTTGCTGCCACTTGGATGTGGTCATGGTGCTTGGGAGGGCTGGCGGTCATTGCCCAGAAACATCATTGGCTTTGCAGTTCTTCCTCGTCCTCGCGCGGTGTCAACTTGTCCAGCTTGTTGGCTGAAGAGTCGATCCCAGGTGGGTGGCCCGGTCACCGGGGAAGAACTTCTTGGAAGATGAAGAGATGCTGGCGTGGGTGCGAAAGGACTGACCGCATGTTAGGTCCTAACAGGACCGAATGAATGAGCACCGAACCACCGTGATGACGGTCACCCGTAGTCGGTTTCAAACATGACATGGCTTGAACATGCTTGAACGCAAAAGCCCGTGGAGTGGGGCGATCTACATGATGTGTATAGTGGCCAAACTATGCCTTGCTCAGCTTGGTGTTGATCTTCAGCCATGAGTCTGCGATAAGTGGCGCAATTTGGCCATCGTCATCCATAGTCAAAGCCCCTGTGCAGGAACATATGTGAAGAAACATAACAAACATAACAATTTTTTTTGGGTCTCATGAGTGATCGATAAAGGATTGTAATGCATGGCGTTTTGCCAATCAACTTCCTTGGAGCTTCCACTATGGGGATTTTGGAATTTGAGGGGGGTCCTCCACGACCCGAGCAGCAAAAACCTCGGTTTTGGATCGACAGGAGCAGGAGAAGCGGCGCAGCAAGTTAGAAGACCTCTTGCAGCAGATCCCAGTCTCACGCCTTGCCCAGCAAGTGCCACCCCTGAGGCTCAAATTGGGTCTACGGTTCGGTCGTGGACTCGTGGACCGATTCCCAAGCCATTCGCAGGGCCACTGAGACCTGTACTTTGCTTGAAATAAGTCAACACACTGCGTTCAGAACACGGGCAGAAAGGGAAGTTTGGATAGTTTGGATATTGAAACTGGATGCAGGGAGCCCGAGCTGCTCACACGAAATGAGAGTTCCATTACGCTTTCGGTGTGTCACTTTGGGGCGCTTTCCGACGGTCGATTCTCGGGCATTCACAGTCGATGTTTGAGGCCTTTCCTGACCTCGGGGGGGCTGCCTGTCAACGACCGAGAGGCGGAGGAGGCAGCAAAAGAGGCAGTGGTTGTGGCGGCAAAGTTCCAGATCACAGCCAATTCGGCCCTTCGGTCAAGATCTTGGACGGTCATCGGTTTTCTTTTTTTTGTGAATTGGAAAGGCTGCTTGGGACTTGTTCTCCATGTGTGGCACGTGGCACCGGCCCAAGATCCTTGGCAACCTCAGGCCCACCTGCAGGTACTCTGCCACCTCCACATGCGACCCGCGCGGAGACCCGGCGCTCACCAGGTCTCCGAGGCTGCGGAGGACTTGGCCAAGGCCCAGCCGGGCGCGGCCTTGGCCGCCGAAGGCCTCGCCTGCGCCGCGGCGCTCGCGGCACTGGAGTTGAAGAGCGCGCCCGAGGAGGCGCTGCAACAGCGGGTCGCGGAAGCAGAGGACAGGGATTTTAGGCTGGGGAGTACGGAAAGTTGGGTTGGTAACAGTGGGTAGGTATGGTTTGGCGCTGTTTGATTTAAGAGTTTTGCTGGTGGTTGGAGCTGGCAATGTGGGCAAAAACAATCAAAACGTGTTACGACTCATGACGTTGATATGACGTTGACCGTTGATGCAGTCCTGACCGCCCCAAAGAGCTCGGAAGCAGAAAGTACCCACGTGAACACACGGGACCTCCACACAAGAAGAAGATGCATTTCTCGCGCGAGGTGACCTTTGTTTACACTGCGGTGCGTAGGCTACGTAACGAAGCGAGTATCCACTCTCTGTTGAGGACTCTGTTCAGAGTTTCCTTGCCGTAAAGACTTGTGTCGTTCTGAGTTTCCTCCCAAGGAGTTCACCATGCTTGTCCAATCGCGCCTCTCGCGCGGGCGGGCGCGTGACGTATGGCGGCTCTATGCAGAGCCCTTGGCTTCGGCGGAGCGGATCCTCCGGCAAAGGCGCTTGGAGCAGTGGAGGCAACGGTGGAAGAGGAGGAAGGGAAGAGTAGTGCAGGGGTTGGGAGGCCGAGGATCCATCCGTGAGGTCTTTCCATGGTAATCCGTCGGAATCTTCAGCAAGAACGTCGGAATTCGTCTTCCACGAGCCCGTATAGGGCCTGGTGGAGCCATGGGATCGCATTCGGGGAGGGAGTGGCATTGCGGGTAGCTCTTTCTCACATTCAAAGGATTGCATTGGCTCATGCACACATTGAGCGCTCACATGTAATAAGTTGGTAATTATATGGGTATTGTATTGTATCATATTATATCTGACTTGCATTTCTACACATCTCGAAGTGGCGTTTGAGATGAGTGGTACCTCGTAGTACTGTACCTCGTTCGTGCCTCCGGCTCCCGGGCCGTTCACCCAGGTGTGTTGCCCGGCTCCTGTGGCGCTTTAAGACCACGCTGCCCTTCGTGGCGCTTTCTTCTGTGCTCTCCATGGTGCTAGGTGGGGCACTTGGAAGTAACTGCAGAAACCGCTGTGAGCTGAAAAAAGAAACCCAAAAAAGTTTGATCATGATCAATCATTGGAGCTCTGAAGCCGACTTTGGAGCCCTGCAGCAGACTTTGGAGCTCTGAAGCCGACTTGGTAATGGGATGTTGTGAATGTCCAGCCGACTGATGAATGTCCAGCCGACCTTTGCTGTCCCAACACACTCACCCCGTCCCAAAAATGGCGTGGACGTTTCCGAGAATTTCTGGTCTGTCCGCGTAGACTTAGCCCTATTTTAGCCTCCATGGTCAGCCTCAGATCATCATCTTGATTCTTGATGCGAAAGAGGTGCCTTTTCGGCGATGCGCTACCATTACCAAGCCTCGGTCATCAACTTGGCGAAAGAGGCCGTCACGAGTTCTTCGGGCCCAGCGCGGGCCAAGCACGGCATGCAGGAGCGGGCCATGCATGGCAGGTCAGAACGGGCGTGGTTGGTTGAATTACGGAGCTGGGGGCTGGGGGTATCCATATGACCTCCTGTAGCTTGAGCTACCTGAGTTCTCCTTGCTTTAGCAAAAATGTATTACAATCAGGAGTTGGGATTGTGCATTGAGTTTGGTCCTGTAAGAGTTGATTCTGTTCGTCGGGGGGGGGGGGCCCCCCTGGATCAAATCCACCCTGCGCCGGTTCACGCCGTCATGGACTTTTACCAGGGTTGCTTGTGATTGCCTGCTACCTTTCGTTCACCCCTTCCTCTCTCAAGTTTTGAAGAGCCAAGGAACCAACCCCCCAAAAACGGAGAGTTTAGTGAGCACTTGCTAGGATTGCACACCTCCTGATCATGATGGGACTTTGCGTGAGGTGGTGACCCAAAGGCATAGATATCGAGGCTGCCTCAAGAATCAGGACAAATAATGAAAATAGATTCTCGGCGTTTGTTTCGTCATCAGCCTTGGGCCTGCACTGGATTTGGTGAGTTCCAGGCCAAAATTCCTGAGACTTCAGTCAGTGCTCTTTTGTTTCGCAGTGGCGGCCTGTAGGAAGCCATTGGAGCGATGGTGGTCAGTGAGATGATTCTTCAGCTGGCGGAATTTGCACGTGGACGTTTGACCTTGCGGGGGAAGACCAAGGTCGTGCAGGAGGGCATCGTTCGGGTGTGGCGTTACGGGGCAGGCTCGCACCAACCATGGTTTGCTCGACGTGCGCTGGCGTTCTATCCTGTTCCATGAAACCTGCTTGCAGGGGGCCTTGAGTGCCAGGCTCGCTCTTTCGTGAGCCTGTCCGAGCGTCCTGCCCGATTGCACAGGAGTTGAAGGTGGCACTCTTTGGAGCACTGCTGCGACAAGACTTGGAGTATTTGGAGCAGTGTCACCGGACTGGACTCAGTGCCCAGGGGGCTAAGGCTCTTCTCTGAGAGAAGGTTGAGACAGAGATATAGGATGGATGTGGTCAGATGAGAGTTCTGTACTGAGATGTGAGGCATAGCAGATGGTGGCTGTCACTCTGTGCAAGGTGCCCTCTATATAAATCTTTGGAATAATATATAGGTTCAAAAAGGTGAACTGACAACCAATACGTCACTAGAAGGACATAAATCATAAAGGATTAGATTATTCATAAAGGATTATATATCATGGATGATCAAGGTACAGGTGTTTTGGAGGGATTCCTGGATCCTGCTAGCATCTACATCGCAACACGAGCTTCATGAGGTAGGATCTGGTAATAACATGTAATAACATCATATACAGACTGTTAGAGGCAGGCTTGCAGGCTTGGTGAGTATAGTGACGGGTGAGTCACAGAATTTGGTTTCGACCGAATTGGGGTGTTCTCCACCAGTTCGAGTGGGGATGGACTGCCCTCGAACGCCATCGCTGCCCAGGTGACCTTTGGCAGCTCCGCTCCCTCATCGGCAGCTGCGGCACGACGATTTCCCAGGCAGATTGGGTGTCGATGCGAGTGAGCTCGTTGGTAGGAGCGGTAGGAGCTGGGTCAACAGTGGGTCACCGTGGAGGCCAGGTCATGTGGCTAGCCATCCAGCTTATGCTTGAGAGTCCTGATGGCAGGATGGCGGTGCTGATGAAGGGAGACCCCTTACAGTCTTCACTGATACCTTGACTCCTCCCTGAATCGTATGAAATTACATGCAGTTGAAGCGCTGCTTGACCATGCCACAAGATATTCATCTTTAGCAACGAGATGGCCAATCCAACCTGCTGGTTCTAGCTGCAGGTCGTGGACTTCCCCGCCACGTTGCTGGAGGCGGCCGTGCGGTTGTTCACTGCTGTGCTGGCGCTGGGGAGGCAGAACGGCCGCCTGGCGGCCTTCCTCGGGGTAATGCTGCCTGGAAAAAGCTCGGAAGGCGGTGGGGATTTCACATGATTGGGGATTCCTTTCATGGATTTCATTGCTCACCTGGAGCCGGCACGTGAAAGGTAGAGAGAGCTTCGTCGAAAAAATCGGCGTCGACCTGGTGGGGGTTGAACGCTGTCGCTGTCGCAGCGGTGAGTCTTCGGTGGACGGCTCCGTGCGCGCCCTGGGTACAACCACTCCGACGAACACCTCACGTTCGGAAGTGGGGAACCCATGGGCCTTTTGAAGACCATTTTCCTTTACAAACAGGGGGGTGAACTCCACTTCGGAACGTGAGTCGGAGTGCACCAGAAAGCAGAAGGTGGAACCAAACCTCCGATGTGAGGCGGACATAATATCATCATCATACCGATCCACATCATTTTTGTCTGAAACATCAGAAAATCCCGCGATCACAGTGATCCGCAAGAGTCCTGTGGCTTTGATTCGGTTCTTGGCCCAGGTTGCCGGCGAGGTTCCTTCTGTCGCAAGCGCTCCAGCATTGCGAGGAGCGCTTGGAGCAATCTGCACTGCCAGACTTCAAGGGGCAGATTAATAGCTGTTGCTCAGAGCAGGCAACCCGCTGGGGTAAAAACATACGTAAAGTCAAACTGCAAGGAGACCAACATCAGTATTAGTCTCTGATCCTTTGCAATGCTTGGTCACAGGTGTCGTCCCAACACCGGTTGCTGGGGGATGCCATCCGATCGCCCAGCGAGGTTGGAGCTGCTTAGTGCAGCCTGCCTCCCTGCGGACCATGCGCGCCTTTGCGCGGGAGCCTCATGAGCTCAAAACCTTTACACGCTTCCTGCAGGCCGTTGGCGAGACGGACGGCCGTTCGGGAAGAAGGGCGAGACGGACGTTCGGTGACTCACTCGCGAAGTGGAGTTCAGCCCGTTCGCAAAGGAAAGCCATGCCATCTACTTCCATGGAACGTGAGTCAGAGTGTAAACGTTCGGTAACTTGAGACGGTGGAGATGGTGGAGAGAAGGTGGAGAGGTGGAGCCGCCAGCGAAGGAAGTGGCCAAGTGGGTATTGTGATGGGGTCGTGGCCCTCCGAACCCTGGTGGCCTGGAGTTTGGAAGAGCTGAAGATGGAAAAGAATCCCAAACAAGGAGCTTTCAGGGTTGATGGTGGTCTTATCCAAATTCATATTGGGGGTTTTGTCGGGGACACCCTTTGAGTTACTGTATGTATATGTCGTATTATACATATATATATATATATTAAGTTAATTTAAGTTATATGTCTCCTCACATATATAAACGTGCGATCCGATTCAAACCCAAAAGAAACCAGTTCTATCATCAAGGAAGCCACAAAGAGCTTCAATCCAGGCACAAGCTTCACAACATCCATCCCTGAAACCGAGTCCTGTTTCAGGTGCATGAGGAGCTCCAGCAACGGAAGATCTTGATTTTCAGACTGATGCAGCCGCTGCTCGGCCATTCTTTTTGCCGCCTGGTCCGAGCCTCCAACCTCCTCGGCCAATGACCGCCGCATCGGAGGATTTCAAAGATTTTCAGGTCGAAGAATCGAAGAATGCATGTGCTGTTATGTAGAAAATTTGCTGCAATAAACGTAGCTTCAGCCCGGATCACCAGCTCTTCTCGAAGCCCAGGCTGCAAGCTCTTCTCGAACACGCCCTTGAGATTGGCACTCTCTGGCTGGAGCCTCAAGACATTGGGCATGGAGATGCAGCACAGAGCGCAAGTTGATGCTAAATATATTCATATTTGGCCCGCAGCTTCCCACTACGACGCAAACATTTCGACTTTTTTGAACACCTAGCGACCATTAGTGACCTCTTCTGCTTACATGTCTCCCAATCTGCCAGAAGTTTGCAGGCTCATGAGTGAAAGACCCGTCTCATCCATTGACTTCAGGTACGGCGGGCGCCTGGCGCTACGAGGAGACATGGACTTTGGCGAGCTCTCCTCTGCAGTGCTGGTGGCCACGGGCGCCTTTGATGGCGCCAGGCGATCCGACCGGTTTCCACCACCGCGGCGGTGGACCCGACCTGGGCGAAGCGATGAGGTCAGTGAACGTGCGGGACGTGATGATATGTATGGGACATGTTCTAGAGTGGTTGTTGAGTTGTTGAGCTTCTCAAAGTGAGACATTTGCGCAGATGGTGGTGAAGAATGCAAAAAAGTAAGATCAGTTCTTAGGACTGACTTCTGAATCCGGATCATCCTGTGTGAGAGAGTGAACTAACACTGTTTTTGGTAGTGGGACAGGAGGGAATGGATTGCTACTTACTCTAACTACGGGCAGCTCTTGGCTTCACAGGGAAGATTCTATTTTTGGACACTTGGGCTTCAAAGACGATTGTAAATACTGATGGGCATCTTCTATTGAGGGGCCATCAAGCTACAAACCGCTACAGTGTTTACAGGGATTGGTGACCTCGACCTGACCTCTAAACATTGAGAGGTGCCTGCAGTGAATCACCAGTAGAGGATAGAGTAGAAGCCCTCCGTTCGCAAGTCACTAACATGGAACTGGGAGCCACCCTGTTCATAAAGGAAACTCGTCATCCCAGGAACCATGCCATCCACTTCCATGTGATGTGTTCGATTGGGTGCTTCCACGACTGGTTCTTGGGTGAGCCGCCGTTCTTCACTCCAAACCAACGGATGCCCACCGGTCACCGCAGTCCTCCGCCAGGTTTGCACAGGCTGCTGCTGCCAATGTCTCTCGCCAGGCCGGGCAAAGATCGTTTTCTCGATGGCTTCGTCGCTGCCTTCCCACGTGCCACGTGCCACGTTGAGCTCGCCCGTTGTTGCGTTGCCGGTGCTGTTTCGAGGACAAATCCAGGGTCCCAAGTGCTGATGGAAATCCTTCTGGTAGATTGATCATTGGTCATGGATTTCTCCTCACCCTACTGAAAGCAAGCCGCAAGTTTCTAGCAATGCTAGGCTCTTCAAAGACTCCCCAATTCACCACAGCTCATCTCCAAAACCATCCAGTGAAGCACCAAGAACAATCCCAAAATGATCCTAAAACTGTCTTCCTCCTTCTTCCTACCGCGCTTTCCCCATATCCTCCGCCTCTTCTTCGTGACGTGTGGCGCCCAGCACCAGAGGCGCCCTCGCCCTTCTCAGGCCTTGGGACCCCTGGCGCAGATGGCGCAGCTCTTGGCACGGCGCCCGCGCATCGGACGCTGGGATCTGGACTGGTCCGGTGCCGAAACAGACCAGGTGCTGACGTGGGTGACCACAGGTGCCCAGAAACCACCTGTGAGGGTCTCCAAACAGCTTGGCCAGGAGGGTCCTCGTATATTGAAACATCTCCAAAAAACATCACGACTCAGTCGAGCCTTTCTTGCAAGGCCTCGTGGAGTCAGTTGCCTTTAAACATGGGCCGTTTCGTTCGAAGAATATCATCGGCACTTGGAGAGCTGGTTTGCTCACACTGATTGAACCCTGTGGGCTGCTTTAAATTGAAAGGGGCCATTGACCCGACAGGTTTGGGGTCTTTTGATAAGTGAGATTGCGTAGGCCCTTGCTGCATACAGGGCATCACCACATCACCCAGTGTCTCGCGTAGTATGAACTCCGGGCCTTTCACGGGGGAACCCGCCCTAATAAATCCTGACAGCAGAAAGGGGCATTGTTTGCGTCATTTCTGACGCCAAGTGGTTGAGACCCTGATTTAATCTGATTCCGAGGCAAACCCAATCGCCACCTCATCACAGAATGTCACCTGCTGTGTGCAGCCTGTGCGCAGGTCAAAACATAGAAAACTAGTCGCAGTGATCCCTTTTCCAATAGCAATTCCTGGCGTGCTTACGCCTTCTGATCCCGAATGCGTAGTGAAGGGCTCGCGTTTGTAGTCTAGCTTTCTGGCAGGGACCTGTCTTTGCCTCTTGTGCTTTCCTCGCGTGACTCTGGATAGTCGCATATATTTGCCGTCGTCGCGTGGACTCCATCTAGGGTGAAAACGTGATGAAACAAAAGAAACGTGACTGTTGCAGCCTTTGCGTCGCTGTGCCATTGGGATCGTCACTCTTCCTGGCAGGCACAGTACTTGTACTAGATGTGTTTGGGCTGGATGCAGTTTGCATGGCTGGTGCGGGGAATCATGACGTTTGATGCAGGGTACTGTCGCATGTTGCTGTGCCTTTGGGATTGGCGTTTTTCGAGGAGCTAGGAGTGCGAAACTTCTTGGCGGGGCTGCTTGATGCGCTGGAATTGATGAGGCTTCCCGCTTCAGTTGATCTCAGTTGGACTTGTGCCAGACTTTTGGAGGATGTCTCGTACGAAACGTTTGTCTGAACTGGACGCGGCACGGTTTAATAGCCTTGACTCTCTCGCATGAAGCTGCTTGAAGGCGAACGCACGCCTCTCTTTCGGAACTCTTCGAAATGCTTGGCTTGAAAACATGAAGCTTGACTGCTAGTGGACCGGCCACTTGGCAGTGCGACTGTCGTGCGCGGAGTGGCTCAGAAATGGTGCTCCAGGCTCAGAACCGGCCACTTTGTAGATCTCAGTACCAAAATGTGTACCAATGCGAGTAGCTTCTGGGAGCCTATGCGGCGTGCGAAGTCACGCCGCGGAGTATCTTCCGGGAGCTGGCTCAGAACGTCTTGGAACGTGCAAACGCTCCACGGAGTAGCTCCTGGGAAGTCTCCTGGGAGGTGAATCCACAGTCTCAAACCGCACTGGCGAAGTCACAGGCCGTAGGCACTGTTTGTCATCATGGATCAAGAGATGCAAGACAGTTCATATGAAGACGATCACCCCGAAACCAACCAACCAAACAACCAACCAATCACTCCACGACCCAGCCATGGGTCAACTGTGAAATCATTGGCTGTTACTGTACTTGGTTTTCTTTCAGGCTTGGACCATCCGCCATGGTCTTCGATGCCAAAACCAGAAGATGTCCGATGGACCTTGGATTTTCAAGAGGCTCAACTCCACATCGATGGTCTACTTTTTTCGGAGTTGGGTGGACCATGCGCCCGGGTGGGGGGAGCTGGGCGCTAACTGGTATGGTGTGCCGCGCTGGGCGAGTCTCATTGAGTGCTTTTTCGGGGGCCAGTTGGCCTCCTTGCGTCGTAGAGGGTTGATCGCAGATCATGCCGGGTTTTGTATGCTAGTTTCCAAGAAAAGACCACCTCGATCTAAGAATTGTGAATCACTCTGAATCACGATCGAGCCCCATGAAAAAACACAGGTCAAATCCTACCTCCCCAATAGCATATATGCCAAGTGTGCTTTGAGGTTCACGCCTCAAGTGATGAAGTATGTGTGAAACGTCTGGACGGCCAGAAATGCCGCAAGAGCTCACCTTGTTGGTTCGCTCGGCGGACAGGACGCAAGGGACGAACTCTTGCGTTCGGACGTCGTGTTTGATGTCAATTGAGCACCCTGCAGTGGTAAACACCGTGCGAACATGAACCCAATGCAACAGTTCCAACACATAAACTTATCGCATTTTTCGTGGTTTTCCCATGTCCAACAACCCTAGTCGTTTACAACGCCGTTGCCCCATGCTCTTCCCAGAGCCAGCGCACTGCTTGTCAAGTTGGGGACCACTTCACGACTCCCTTTCCCTTTTACCTTGATACCGGCCCGGCTAACAGTTTGGATTGGCTAGGTGGAACCTGCCGGCAGGTGACATTTTCGTATCAGCAACGTGGTGTGGAAGTCTTGAAGGGGCTGTCCTTCCAAGTGCGCGAGGGTGAGTTCTTGGGCCCCTTGGTCGGAGGAAGTCAGTGGTTTTGGGGCTGGTCTCCCGAGCAGGCCAAGCAGTCCCATTGTCAGGACGGTGCCCCCAAATGAGCACATTGGGCTTTTGAACACTAAGAAGCCTCACCTACCGTCATGGGCGTGGATGGTCAATCACATAACCACGCTTTGGCGTGTAGTGTGCTAGGAGCTAGGGGTTAGGTTTTGGCACAACAGGTGCCCAGAAACCACCTTTTAGGGTCTCCAAACAGCTTGGCCAGGAGGGTCCTGGTATTGATTGTTTGTAGCAGACACCTGATCTCACACGAACCGAGGCATTTTGGGAACGACAGGCTCGGGGAAATCCACGGTGCTCTCGTTGATGTTGCGGCTCTACGAGCCGACCAGTGGACGAATCTTACTGGATGGGCGAGAGATAAAGGACTTGGCATTTCTTTGCAGCAGGGTTTGGAGAACCTGGAAGATATTTATATATTTACTTGTTTTTGCCTTCAGGGATGTGCTGTGCAGATACATGTGACATATTTGCATGTGGCATGTATCAGCATTGATCTTCAGCCGGTGCGTCAAACTGTTCACCAGCTGGTTTGGAGGGTTCTTTTCTTGGTCATCCGTGCGGTCATCGGTGTTTGTTGACGCAGTTTTCAAGCCCAACCCTGTTGAAACCCTGTTGAGGACTACAACCCTTTGTGGTTGCGCTACCATATCGGCTTTGTGAGCCAGGACCCTGCTTTCGCCATCTTTCGCCTTAGTAGCTCGAATGATTTTGTGGTTAAATCAAAGCTGGTTCACCAAGAGTGAACTCTCACAAGTGATGGTCGCAAGCCAATTATACGGTGGTGTAATCAGTGTAATCATACCATCAACCCACTGAATTTCAGATGAACTGGATGTGTTCGAACTTGTCACCAGGACTTGGTTCTGTGCAACCGCACCGTGCGCGAGAATCTCCTGTACGGGGTGGCCGAAGCGGCGGAGGTGGTCGGCGATGCGGCGGCCAAAGAGGCGTTGCGCGTGGCGCAGTGCGAGGAGCATATTTGTCGAAGTCGCTTATTTGCTTCTCTCTTCTTTCTCCAGTGAAGTTACTCACTTGTCCAGTTCTCCTGGCCAGGCTTGAGCAACAGAATCATAGAACAGTGTGACTCACGAGGATTTGCATCCAGGCCCGAGGCCCGGTACAGCAAAACTCCTATCCTAAGTGCAAGTGTCCTTGATGCGCCACCAAAGCCTAAGGCCACCCAGTGTTGGACGAACACTTTGACAGATTTCGCGGATTTTCGCCGAATCTTTGCGCTAGAGGGCACTGAAATTCGAAGAAGATATCCTCCGTCAGGAGACCTTCTTCAACACTGAAGCTTTCCCCAACCTTTGGCACACGGACGTGGGCGTGGGCGGCAGTGATCTGAGTGGCGGGGAGAAGCAGCGCTTGGCAGTGGCCCGGGCGATCGTGAAGAAACCGAAGCTTTTGATCTTGGACGAGGCTTTTTCGTCCATTTGGTTGGATACGAATTTGAAGCGAAGGCAATAGGGGTTCCGTGTTTAGTCAGTGGTGTTTGTGAGGTGTGAGTCCTTCAATGCTGCCACTGTGAGTTATATTTGAATATAGTGGATCACAGATAGATGGCATAAGTCCAGCACCTATTAAAAGACCATCTAAGACGAAAAAAACCCTCCTCAGGACTCCAACGTGAACACAAACACTAAGATGGCACAGTTGCAAATTCATCGTTTTAATTGCTGACATTCCACGCGATTCCAGCTGACAAGAAAGATATGCACATAGATGGCATATGCAGAGAAGCTTGCTAATAAGATCTTTTTTGGCTGATGTGAGAAGACGGTCTAGACTTGGAGGCCATCATTACTAGGTATGAGGCCATCACTATTGGGCTGGCAGCCATCGCTATTAGGCCAGAGGCCAGCACTTTTAGGTATGAGGCCATCGCTAGTCTCTTCTCCCCTTCCCCTTCAAGCCTCCCCTCCAGCACGCTCGCATCGATCGCTTTGATTGAGGACATTGACTCAGGTTTTGTCAGGTCTTTTTTTGCTTTTAAGATGGCACACTAGCCCTCCCGTTCATTCAAATGCCATCTGAAAAAATGTCAAAAAATGGCTGCTATGCCATCTTATCCAGCGTGAGTCAAATGCCATCTATGTGTGATCCACTATATATATAATATTACACTATAGTGATATTTTAGGTTACTGTATATATGTCTTCTGCTTTAGCAGGGTTATGCACGTTTTGAACCCGCGAAGTGTCGGCTCAGTGAGGGCCGGAGCGTGGGGGCCTGGGTCTGAGACTCCCAAGAGGACAGCCCCAGGTCCCCTGATAGAGAGATAAGGTTATACCCCCCTGGACCCACAGGTCTTAGCAGACAGTGGCCAGGGAGTGGGGATTTCCACCGGCAGTGGCCACAGACCCCCAGGGGTTGTGGCCGGGGTGGAAATCAGGTACCTCAGTTGTGAGGATACTTCAGGTCCCTTCAAAGTGGACCGCCTCCCAGCTGGATCGACAGACCCCTGCGGGTTGTTGATCAGAGAGGACGTTCTCCTCTCCAGCTGCCACAGATCCAAAGGGATAGTGGCATAGGAGGCAAGATGAGTTCAGCCTTCGAAGTGCTGGTCAAATATGGGGAGGATCAGGGGATTGAAGCTGAGCGGATATCTTCTATCCTCCTTGACCTTTGCCATTGGGAACGGCGGCCGTCAAGCACCTGAGGTGGCTGCGGCCTGGTTGAATGATCAACCAGACCTGTCCTACATCGAGTACGAATGTAGAGGCGACGGCGGAGCCCCCCTTGGCATTGGCATTGTTAAGGTTGAGAGATGGGTGAGTCGTGAGAATGGGGTCTTCTATGGCCAGCACGAAGGCGTGTCCGATGCCAGGTATGCAAGTTTCGTCAACCACAAAGCTTCCCTTGGAGCCTGTTTTCAAGGTGTCAAGTAAAACTCAGCCCGGGCGATCTACGCGAGCTCATCCACATCGCAGCTTGGCGTCGCTCGCAAAAGTTTGCACGGCCCGTGGCAGTGAGGTGGGGCAAGAGGCTCATAGATCAGGCGGTCAGGGAAAAGGCCTCCAGAAGCACGCGTGGTCCACCAGCGGAGACGGGAGGAGATGTTGAGGTTGAAGATGAGGAGGCAGAGTTGGCAAGGAAGAAACGCAAAGATATCAACGATGTATTAGATGATGAGACTGTTGAGCCACGTTCCAGCAAGAGAAGAGAGTCCCTGGCGAGCTACGTTGGCAAAGAAGGCCATGGGCATGCACAAAGGCCGAAGGAGGAGGAGGATCCAGCCTCTGAAGTTGCCCCACGACCTGAGGTCTTGCGGGGTGCACGGTCAGCTGAAGCAGATCGTCGAGGTGGACCGTCGAGGTGGACCTAGACCTTCAAAGGCCCCGGATATCATGGCCCCTGAAGTTGCACCGGCACGTACTCCTGTTCATCTTGCCACAGGTGGTGGTCCCAATCACCAAGAAGAGTCATCTCAGCGCCATCAGAGGAGGCCCGGAGAGAAGGGTCCGTCGGTCAAGGAAGAGGAGCAAGGTCGAGAAAGACGGCGGCGGGAGCGTCGTGTCCGCGAAGCCGATCCACCCACTGCTGTTCTTCATGAACGGGATCAAAGATCTGGAAGAAGGAGGAGGCGCACTGGGAGGTCAAGGTCAAGGATGCGCAGAACGGAGGAGGTTGCTTCTACACCTTTTCTCGAAGATAGGGAGAAGTTGGCGGACCTGGTCAATGAGCAGGAGTCGGA